GGTGTAACTTTTACTAAGTGTTACACCGCTCAATAACTTTATATTAAATGTGAATTTTGAAAATCCAACCGTTAGATTGAAAGTTCATATCTCTTAGATCATATATATCAAATTTTATATTAATCTAAGATGATTTGATACTTCATTCTCGTAAAACAAAATTGATGTAATATATACATTTCAATATATACTAAAATATTAACACTTTGATTACCTTGAAGTTGTTGTTCAAATTTAACAAAATTTGATATATATGATCTAAGAGATATGAACTTTCAATCTAACGGTTGAATTTTCAAAATTCATATTTAATATAAAGTTATTGAGCGGTGTAACACTTAGTAAAAGTTACACCGGTGTCATTTGAACCCTCCTCTATATATATATATATAACTATTAACAATATAATTAAAAGAAATAAATTTATGATACAAAAATTTAAATTATCAATATTTTTTACATTTATATTAGGCTTAAACGCTTTTATATTACTTATTTGTATGAAATCAAGTTATCGAAAATATAAAATCGAGTTGCTACATTTTCGCTTATTTTTTTCTTTCATCATCATAATTGATTATTTATAATACTTCAAATGTGGTATAAGAAATATTTAGAAGGTTTTCTTTTGTAATAAAATTATCTTCTTTATTATAGTCTATGCATAAGTATATACTAATATACATGAATATGTATGAATTGTCTCTTAAGTAATTTTTTATTTAAAACTCTAAATTTTAATAATAGAATAAATTAATTTTTATCATACAAATTAAATAAAGTCTTGTATATATATTTAAAAATAAATTATTAATTTATTTAAAATTAAATTTATTAACTTATTTAACATTATTAATCCAAAATAAGTTTTTAAATAAAATAATACATGATATTGACTTTAAAAAATAAAATAAAATAATTAATTTATTTTTAACGTTATTAATATAAAATAAAATTTTAAATACACGATATACATATCAAGTTAAAAAATTTGGCTTCACATGTTCTATTGTATTCTCACACATCTATATAAGAATAAGAGTAATGTATGAGTACAATAATCATGCAACAGTGGGTGTCAGTGAGTAATTTCATGGGAAAGAGAAGTATCGTATGAGTACTTGTTAGACTTCCACGTTGCTATCTACTTTTTCAGGTTTTTTCCCCTATTTCCCTGCTCACCTCTCCTTTTTCCTGTCGCTTTTGCCAAATCTCGCTATGCTTCTCCTTGAAGCTCCAATTTCTCTCTCCCTCTAGGGTTTACCTCTCATTCTAGATTCCAAATAGATACTATCTCTACATGATTTGATTCTTCTCCCAACCTTTACTTGATCCCGATTCCGATTCCTGGAACGTTTTTAATTGGATCCGCTTCATATCGGATCCGGATTCGACGAACATTCAACCCTTGATTCCGCAATTCTCTCCGAATTTTGCCTTGAATTTGCTTTTCGAATCGATGATTATTGTAGTTTAGAGAGTTCAATATTAAAAAAAGGTTTTGATCCTCGTGCTTTCGTTTTTATTTTTATTTTATATTTTTTAATTTCACGAGTATATGTTGATTGGATAGTTATATTGATTTATGATGTTGATGATTATGATTATGATTATTCAATGTGGTTTGTAAATTTGTGAACTTGCCATTTTCTTTTTCTTTCCCTTTTAGTATCTCTCTCTGTTTTTTTTTTTTTTTTTTTTTTTTTTTTTTTTTTTTTTTTTTTTTTTTTGTAGTTTGTTTTACGTTGTTGGGTTCAATTATTGTTGGGATTTGAGAGTATTTGTGTTTTTGTGTAATTTGCTAGGTACATCGGATAGATGGTATGCAGCAGTTGTGTAAGGTCTTTGTTTGTTCAAGCTGGAATCTTCGCCAACAGAGTGAAAATCAACGGCATTGGGAGGAGTTTGCGAGCAGCTCGTGGTTTTTCTTATTGGCCAATTCGTGAATACAAGACAAGCATAGGGATGATGGTTGATACGGGTTCTATGTCTAGGGCCGGACCTCTGGTTGATATGATGCCAGAGAAAGATGATGATGGTCGGTTTGCCAGTGGAGGGTGGAAAAGGTAAATATGATTCTCGCAACTTGCTTTCAACTTGTGGTGACATGTTGATAATTGTATATCTGTTCTGATGACCATAGATGGAAACGTTACTTTGTTGCCTTGGTACTATGGTTTAACATCCCTATTGGCAGTTGGAGTTGAGCATTTATAAGGATAGGAGTTCCAACAGCCTCTAACTTGTGTTGTTGTTAGATTTTAGATTTTAGATTCGAGGAAAAATATGACTTGAAAGAATCAGTTTTATGTTTAGGGCTGTCATCTGGAAGCGCTTGTTGGAATTGTTTGGCCTTTTAAGGAAAATTATTCTTGACTATATCGACTTAATAAAAGATTTGATTGACGTATATTTTAGTTTATAAAAGATGATGGGGAAATTTTGAGAACAAAGAGAGGATGTTAAGGTGATATCACTGCCAAAATAACCTTTGGCTGTTGAAAGCATGATTTACAAAGGCCTAATGGAATTTTTGAAGACCCAATATATCAAAGAAAAGTAGTATTTTACTATTTTATTTCTAAGGAAGTAATTTTAGGGAGGTGTAGTGCTATCTAAAACAGTACGTCATGGGTGGTCATTTTTAAGGGTTCTTTAAATCAGTTGGTTCATGTGCTGGCTTATCTTTTGTTTATTGAACTGTGTTTCGTTTTGGTCAATAAAAGCAACAACAAAAGTCCTTTTTCCTACAAGGTGGATACTGGGGAACAAAACACATGACAACGATGAAAATAAAAAGAAAACATAATTAGAGCTAAACTACCCATTACTCAATATATCTGTTAGAGAAACCTCCCTAAAAAGGTCAAATTCTTCTTGCTGAAGGTAATACTATTATTGTGGTGGAAGCATGAATTTTTAATAACTTGTACTTGAAAGTGAAGTCAAGGAGTTAAATTCATGATATTTCTTTCTAATCCTTGTAATTTTTTTAGCTGAATTCATCTACACAGATCGATGTAAAATTTTATTTAGGGCTTGCATTGGAAAAATGGGATTAATGCATAATTTAATTTGCTTGATTAGCTGGATTTAGTGTTGTACTTTATACTTTTGTTGATCTATATATTGATCAAATGGTACTTATTTCATCGAATTTTTATTTGGCAGTGAAGATGGAGGACTTAGCTGTGGTTATTCAAGTTTTAGGGGGAAGAGAGTGACAATGGAGGATTTTTATGATATTAAGACATTGAAGATTGGTGGCCAATCAATATGCTTATTTGGAATATTTGATGGTAAGATTTTCTCCTATCATCACTTGCATGGGAGAAAATTAGTTCTTTAATCTCAGTGATTGCACACATGTTCATATGTTATGCAGTTGTGGTAATATGCCTTGATAAATTTTTTATATTCCATACAGGTCATGGTGGTTCTCGTGCTGCTGAGTATTTAAAGGAGCATCTCTTTGATAACCTCGTGAAGCATCCCAAATTTTTGACAGATGCCAAATTGGCAATAAGTGTGTTCACTGTTCACTTTCTCTCATTTAATTTCATGAATGTCTTGTCATATAATCTGCTGTTTATTATTTGTTGATTTTTTCTTGCTTGTTCCTACTTTGGATATTGTTGAAAGCATTTAATGTACATCCCTGAAATGTTTGTTGTATTTACTTATCGGGTCTGCGGTGGGATACCTGCATGGGACGCTTTTGATCTTCCATCAACAGATTTTGTAATTATAGTAACCTCAGGAAGCTTGCAGGTGAAACATATCAACAGACTGATGCGGATTTTCTGGATTCCGAAAAGGAAACCTTCAGGGATGATGGATCTACAGCTTCAACAGCGGTTTTGATTGATAACCATCTTTATGTAGCTAATGTCGGAGATTCCAGGACTATAATATCAAAAGCTGGTAAAGGTAATGTTTTTATGACCAACTATTTTATGATGTCTAAAATTTAGTCACTATTAATTAGCTCATAATATTGAGAGAGTTTAAGTTATCATATCCTTTATAAATTCTGGTGTAGTATTTGGTATTATATTAGTACAATTTATTTATTTTTTTAATGGTAAAAAGTTTTTATATCTTAATGATGTGATGTTGGGGGTAAAGCTGCCTGATAATTAAATACAAAGATCCTTTGGAAAATACAGCATTTCAGACAAGTTCTGTCTGATCATATGATAAATTTTCTTATAGTTCCATTGATATAAATTTTGGAAATAAGAGTGATATCAACATCTTGAACTAATTGTTTATCTTTTGGCAGCAATTGCTCTCTCTGAGGATCATAAGCCAAATAGAAGTGATGAGCGAAAGAGAATTGAGAATGCTGGTGGTGTTGTCATGTGGGCAGGTTAGATATGATATTTGAGTCATATAAATAGCTTCATTAAATAGTTCCACTGTTGATATTCTGCTTCTGGCACATTTAGTGCAACATACAATTGGGATTGGTTGGTTTTTGATGGGGATTTCCCATGCTATTTTTGGCCAGAGTTGAGATTCAAAGTAATTTAATGGTGACATAGGAAGCTTGAGATGACTCTATCATTGGATCATTTTGATCAGGTGTTATGTTGGCAACTTGGCATAATAATATGCATGCAATTATGTTCTGGTTCTGGATGATGGATATGCCAAGTATTTCCCCAATTTTTATCTGTAAATGTTAGGATGTAGATGATGATAACTATACAGATGAATATTATATGGATATATCTAACTATATCTATATCGCACATTGAATCCAAATCTGTCGAGTGCATGGATATTTATAGAAGGTCATTGATTCAGTCCTTTTATTAAATTTTCTTTTACAAATCTTGAACAAAATATAAGCCATTAATCACATCAGTACATGGTAGCCAAAAGATTTTACCTAGGATCAGATTGGAAAGGGAGAGGGAGCACTTAAGTTGTATAACATGGACTGTATATTCCTGCCTAAAGTACAAAATATATCCATACATATTTTTATGCATATAAAATAACATAAATAAGATAAACAGCTTTTAAATTGAAAAGGCCTAAGGTCACATATGACTTATAAGTCACAAATTCACAACATATGCTGAAGTTACAATTTTGCTCCAAATATAGAGGACATACACCAAACGAAACTCAAACCACCAAAAGATAACAGTTCAACCAGCACCAATGCAGAGAAGCAGGAAGGAGAGAAAACAAATGCAGTATCCAAATGGCCAAGAGTTAATCTGCTGAACCTGAACCAGAGAGTACCAGATCAATGAGATCAGAGACTTTGCTGGGAACAAGCACTTAGGAAGCCTCCTAGCGGAACAAAATAAAAAAACAGCAGAAAAGACATCAAATTGCCATCACCAACTCTTGTTTGTAGCAGGTCATCACAAGAGAAGAGGCTGCAGGTTTGAGTGCAAAGGGGCAAGTCAAAATGAGAGGAAGAAATAGGACTTGAAGGGTCTTTAAAATTTGGTTGGTTCTTTTTGACTTTTCTCACAAATGGGCTTTCTAGTCAGCATAGTGGGATTATTTGGTAACACGTCAATCCCACATGATCTATCGAGTGAGTTTCTAGACATGATAGGATTGTTGCACCTTCAAAATTATGTGATCTCATGAATAAGATTGCATTTTTGACTATCATGCATAGTTGAAAGAGATATTAATTTTTGTCAGGCTAATTACATTCTTATCTTATCCAAATATAGAGATACATTTGTCTCTAAATAAGGTAACTATGAAAATAAACAAAAATAAAGGAAATAAGAAAGATTACAAAATCAAATCAAATCTCCTAAAATACTCTTTTTACAGCACCCCCCTTAAAGTTGGTAAATGAATATCAATCATTCCCAACTTTCCTATTAGCTCTTGAAATCTACTAGCAGGAAGTCCTTTAGTAAGTACATCTTCCATTTGTAGGAATGTGAGCTAAAATAATAAGACCACTGTCTAACTTCTCTATGATGAAATCTCTATCTATCTCAATATATTTGATCTTGTCATGTTGAACTAGATTGTGAGCAATGTTGATGGTTGACTTATAGTCACAAAACAACTTCATAGGTAGCTCTTTTAATTTTGAGGTCATCAAGAATAATCCTCATCCATAGCCCTTCACATATGCCCTATGCCAAGGCTCGAAGTTTAGCATCTACACTAGACTATGTTCTGTTTCTTACTCCTCAAAGCCATCAAGTTCCCCCCAACAAAAGAACATACAATATTCGAAAGTAGATTTCCTATCTGTGACTGACCTTGCATAATCTACATCAGTATAATCTCCATAGTCTTCTGAATAGTAGTCCTTTTCCCTAGACTTGACTTCAAGTACTAAAGCATCTTGTCAACTACCTGCATATGCCTTTCTTGGGGGCATGCATGAATTGAATAACTGCACTCACAACATAAGCAATGTTTGGTCTAGTTTGTGATAGGAAAATTAGCTTTCCTACCAATTTCTGATTTTGAGACTTTTCCACTTGAGGACTTTCTTCACTTCTAATTTTGTGACTTTGTTCAATTTGATCTCTTGAGTTCTTGCATCCCAACTTTCCTATTTATTTAAGAACATCAAGGACACACTTTCTTTGAGAGATAAATATTCCCGTCTTGGAATATGCAACTTTAGTTCCCGAAAAATACTTCAGCTTCCCCAACTCTTTCATCTCAAATTGTGTTGCCATCTTCATCAGGGTTAATTTTTCTTCTTCATTATCACCTGCAATGATCATGTCATCTACATATACTAAAAGTATTGTGATATTGCCATCAGGGGAGTATTAACACATATAAGTTCATGAACAATGCCATTATCAATGATACATTTAGATAAATCATGATTCACATATTCAATACCATTATCAAATATGATTCTTTTTATGGACTTACCAAATTGATTTTGAACAAGATGAAAGAAATTGACAAATATTTGACCAACCTCAGGTTTATTTTTCATAAGGTATGTCATGCTACTCGTGTATAGTCATTAATAAATGTCACTAACCCTTTAGCATCATAGATTCCACAACGGGTCCCCAAACATTAGATTGTATCAAGTCAAAAGGGAAAGAACTTTTATTACCACTGATTAGAAAAGAAGAATGATGGTGTTTAAACAATCGACAAACATCACAATTAAACGAACCAACAAAAACTTTTGTAAATAAATGTGAAAACAAATATTGAATAAGATTTAATGGAGGGTGTCTGAGTCTCTTATGTTGAAGCCATATTTTGAAAGATGGCCCAAGTATTAGTCTTTGCATGTTGGCTTGAGGTTGACTCCATGTTCTTGTCACTATTCCTTTTTTGCTTTGGCAAGTATAACTCACCCTGTTCTTTAGTAATTAAAATTGTCTTCCCTGTGGCCAGGTTCTAAAAGGAACAATGAGAGTGGAAAAATGTTACTAAACAATTCAAGTTTGTAGTGAGCTGTAGTATAGAAATAAGACAGTCAGTTTTGAGACGTGTAAGACACTATGTAAGAAAATAGAGGTCTCAAGTTGAATGTTTCTAGATCCAACAAAGGGCATATTATCTCCATTAGTAATTGTAATGAATTGTTTAACGTTTGTTTTGGAATATGATGCAAAGAGTGAAGGGTCATGTGAGTTGTTGCTCCAGAATCAAGAATTTAAACTCCTTGAGAAACATAGCCAAAAGTATTGAAATAACTCTTACCCTTCATGGACAGTGTACATAAGCCAAAGGGCTTACTCATAGATTCAATCATCATTCTCAGACAATCAATCTCTTCCTTACAAGCTTTAATATTTTGTTTCGGTTGAGATTGGGTTGGTGGATTTGTCTCCTTGTGTTCTAAAGAAAAAGGGAGGTTTCCGACTACACAACTCACAATGTTGTGATTGTTGGTGAAGGGTGCTCCTTTCTAACTCAACCGACTTTAACAACGGTGGTGCCGGTAGCAATGGAGAGGGCGACAACAATTCTAATTTTAGGCCAAGGCAACACAAACAAAGCTCCAAAGATCAAGAGCTCTGATACCAAGTTGAGAGAGATGATTTCATTAATTTGTGTCACACTAATTACATGCTTATCTTACCTTATTATAGGGATACATTTGTCCCTAAATAAGTTAACTATGAAAATATACAAAAATAAAGGAAATAAGGAAAGATTACAGAATAATATCAAATCTCCTAAAATACTCCTTTTTACAACATGCATCAATATATTTGTTATGGGCTCATGGACAGTAATAAAGTGGATGAAACCTGCCGGGCTTCAAGATAAATAAATGTAAACATATGTATTGCATGTTCCATGTTTTAGGACACAAATTAATAGTTCAAGTAGGTATTGACTTATTTAGTATGGACATTAGATTGATTTGTGCAATTAGTATCTATGTTCTAAACTTATACTTAATTGGAATAAGATGCTTTATATCTTCACCTCAAAACCAGGCCAACCATCCAAAGTATGGAATGATTAGTTTGGGCAGGTGATGTTTACATTTGTTTATTTTTCTGGTCAGGTACATGGAGGGTAGGAGGGGTTCTTGCAATGTCTCGTGCCTTTGGTAACCGTATGTTGAAGCAGTTTGTTGTAGCAGAACCTGAGATCCAGGTGATCCTTTATTAGCATGTGCAATCTGAAAATTAATAGTCTTTAATAGCTAGGAATGATTCACTCTAATAATATTTTCACTGCAGATAATTAGTAACTTTCTAGTATTATTAGGGAATAATTTGGTACAATAAAGTTTAATAATAGTACAAATCTAGCTTTGAACATTTGTTAAGAGGATTGGTGGGTCTTGATCTAAATTATGAAGGGGCCAAATTAAGTACTCAATTTATATATTAGTTAGTATAATATAAGCATAACCATATTACAAAAATATGTATCGAAGTTTTAACACCTTTTATTAATGGAGAAGTTACTTATTAGGCAGTTACTTGTGATTATGAACTTTTGTGTTTTTTTTATCATGTTGATTATTGACAAAAGTAATGAAGTACACAAAATCATGGGAAATATAGTAACAATTAGGGAGGGAGAAATATTATTCAAAGTTTTTCTTTTCTCAAATTCTTCGTTGAATACCTAAAACCTTGCAAGGAAACAAATTTTGAAACATAATGAAATAAGGAAGAAATTCTTTAGGATTGTTTCCTCAATTGAATATCTAATGGATTCCACAATATCTTCTGGAGATTAACTGAGATATTCTAGCATAACACAAACATTAAAGTGCCTAAAGACCACCAATATGTAAAGTTAATAGTCTTCCCTTTCTGGTTAGTGGTCTGAAGTTAATAGGCTGTTGAAAAAATCACTAAAATCATACGTACAGGGTAATATCTTTAACCTAGTTGTCTTAATAGGTTTAGTCTGGGCTAGTAATGTTAGCTTGTGCACATATGTTGTTGGAACCATGTTTAGGCATATTTTGTTGGAGAAGAATAATAATATTTCATCTAAGTATCAAAAGTTTCATAAAATATTTTTAGGGGTCATGTCCCCTGAAGATTGTCATCTGCTGAAATCGCAGGATATGCTGTATATATCAACTTATGGCTGTTTCCTATAGTAGTAAGAAAGCGTTTAGACTATCTATTTTCTGCTCTTAAGTACCATATATACGTGCCTTAATAGGCCTTTTGGCTGAACCACGTCCGAATGTACATTATCTCACCCTTGATGCGAATGATCATGTTGAAGTGATGAGAGATATTGGTTTGACAACGTAATTTATCTTTTTATATGCTTTCAGGACCAGAAGATAGATGAACAAATTGAACTGCTTATTCTTGCTAGTGATGGACTCTGGGATGTAGTACAGAATGACGTAAGCTTTGTCTTCCCTTAGTCATGCATTTTATTTGTATGTGCATTTTCTATGCCTCCTATATTCATTTTTAGTAAGGCAGCAGTGGCTTATCCTGATAGTCAATGTTTTATCCAGTGGAATAATCCCACCCTTTCCCATGACTTATCATCAAATCGTGTCTTCAAAAGTAGTGTTCAGTGACCTTGAAAGGATTCACTATCATAAAATAGCATGAGTCTGGGAAGGGAATGAAAAAAGAAAGTGTCTGCTTGGGTTTGGGGGATCCGGTGAGGGATCGTCTATTTGTGAGTTGTGACTTCTTTCCTGGACATGCTATGCTCCATGGAAAGTAGCTCAATATGGACCGTAGGTATTTTAGTAGAGTTTATTTATTTATTTTTATTTCCATCCTTGTCTGTATTAGTATAACTGTTTTGGTGTCACCTAGGCTATTCTGATTTATGATCACAAATGAAATTAAATAATTTTATTCCCGGTCCTATGATTTTATTTTATGTTTGCAAGGCTTGTTATATGCACTAAAGAAAATGTAGTTATGTTCGCATAGAACTAGGAGTTGTAGTTGGAATGGAATGAACCTGTGACATTATGTAATATACTTTCTTATTTTCCAGGGTGCCTAATGATGTGTTTGATATGAAATATTTACTCGTCACCTGTTATACTTGTTTCAAGTGTTCTGTTTGATATTCGACATCTATTCTCTGTATGTTCAGGATGCTGTTTCTCTTGCCCGCGCAGAAGAGGAGCCTGAGGCAGCTGCTCGAAAGTTGACAGAAGCAGCATTTTCTCGTGGTAGTGCAGATAACATTACATGCATTGTGGTTCGCTTCCATCAAGACAAAACAGACCTAGCTAATCCTGACAAAGCAGAATCAGCTGGTGCTCAACACGAGCAGACCAAGTGAAAGCACAAATGCACGTGTTAAGTCTTTTCGCGTCAAACATGGATGAACTGTGAGGTCAGCACATGCATGATAGCTCAATATGCATGTCAACAGGTGATTTGTTTATTCATTAGTTTTCCTTCTGTAAGTCACTATTGAATTGGGATTTTTGAGTCGTGTTCTTCTTCCGATAACTGAATTCAGCAGCGTGTATGCGTATATATTTCAAGTTTTCCTGTTTGTAGAGGCAAATTGGTAATTTTGTTTTGATCCAATAAATGCAATGTGCATTTTATCATGTTGATTGGAGTCCCTTGAAATGAAATGCATGATTCAAATTTCCTAGGAAATTTCTCCCGTCCTGAAAGGAGAATTATTGTTTATTGTATGAGTATATCAAATGAGAATTACTTTCTCGTTACAGTATATAAGACTTAATTATTTAATTTATTAAGACTAAAAAAAGTTGTTATTTAGTTGATAACAATAATTTTTTTCTTATTTTATAATTTTACTTTTGAAATTACTCTTATATTATTTTCTGTTCTTAATTAATACTCATATTTTATTATAAATTAGAGTACATCTCATACTATTTCGTTCTCTCAATTAATATTAATTGTTTTCCTAACTGATCAGAATATATGTTCTTTATAGAGGTTGTAAGCAATGTACTTTATTAAATTAAGGCAATACACTTTAATTAAGAATATTTTATTCTGAAAATAATTAATATACGAAACAATATAAATTGAGTTTTATATAAAAAATAAATAATTATTCTAAATTGGGTCTTGTAAATAAAAATCAGGGTAATATTGTTTATTGTGAGAAATAATAATTATTTAGAAATCATATAATTATACACCAAGATTAATGGTTAATTAGCAATCACTTAATTACAATCCTATACATTTATCTTTTAATTTTTATCATTCGAATATGATCTAATGACTAATGGTTTAAATTTATACACCCTATGGTCATTATTATAAAGCATATTTAGTTGAATTAGACCGGTCAATATAAATAGTTATATTATTTAGTTTTATTGGATTAATATATCAAAGATCATGATGTACCAATTTTATTTTTTTTACTTAACATTGAATTTCTATGAAAGGTGAAAGACAAATACATGTCCCGCACCATAGTTGTTAACAATGAGGATGGGAATGTATATTAATGGAGACGGCTAGGAGACAAATATTTATTTGATAGAGTGGGTAAGGGGAAGTTATTACTCGTACATGTTTCATGCTCATTGACATCCCTATTTATCACTTTTTTTTCCGCAAAATGAGAGGAGTTGTTGCGTCATTGCGTGTGTTTTGCACACTTCAAAATGAAAAAATAATATTAATATTAAAAAAAACTTAGAAATGCATTGAATAAAAAAAGAAAAAAATTTTGTGATTGAAATAAATGGGAAGCCAAAGAAAACAAAAAGATCCTATTTGGGGTAACTTTCATGTTTCTTGAATTTATTCCCCATTGTTCCTCTTTTCTCTTATTGGTTTATAGCTTAAAAATTCTTCTCTTCTCTCACCTTTACCTTGATCACATTAATAGCTAAATAAAAGTTCTTTTGATCTTTAATTGCATGTGTTTCAAGTTGTGAAAATTAGAGGCTTGTCAAAGCTTGGATGTGCTAGTTTGCATGATGTGTTTAAGTGTAAATACAATCCTAAACACTTGAGAGTTGAGAGTTATACACCATCTTGTGAGGTTATATCATTTTTGAATCATTATTTAATTTGACTTGTTTTTCTTGCTTGCTTTTAATGTCATTTATCTCTCATAGATTGTTTGTAGCCTTGATTCTAGGAATCATTTACTCTTTCTCTTTTTCTATACATTAGAAATTTATTAAAAAGTGTTGAAATTTTGTATTTACTTTCTTTTGAATTTTAGGTTTATTAATGAGTTTTGTCTTAGAGTGCAAAAGATTCTCTTTTCTAATATATATATATATATATATATATATAATATTTCAAAAAAATAAAAAGTCTCACATTACTTGGATCTAATAAGCTTTGAGTGTTTATATATTAAAGTGTATCTTACACTTTTAAAAAGACAAGTAAGTAGGGATGACATGTAAACTCTTACTTGTGGTTAATATTCAAACTCAACCTAACTTTGATGGAGAATATCTTATTTGACCTTATATTCGTACCCGCTTTAAATTTCTAGAAATTTAATTTATTCTTTCTAAAATTTACTTCACATTTATATAATTCTGACTTTATTTTAAATTTATGTTAAAAATAAAACTTAATCAATATAATTTTGTAATTGCTACTTTACGTTAAAATTCTTGTTTTTTTAATACTTATTTTTAAAAAAATATTTAATTAATTTTTGGACAGTCACAAGTATACTCGATACTTGACAGGGATGAGAATGAGGACACAAATTTCATACTCATCAGATATGGAGATGAAAATGAGTATATGGTATAGGAATAGGGATAGGGATAGGGATTGTGAAACCCATACCTCACTTACCTTATTGCCATCCCAACAAGCAACAGTAGTGGGCTTGTATGCATCAGAATGGGCCTTGTGATTCTATTGTAGTGCAAATCCATGAATTTGCCCCCTCTTGTGCGTGCAATTATGGAATCAAAAAATAATTTTATTTTTAATTCATTAAATTATTTTTATTTATTTTATTTAATGAAGGCTTAATTGAATATGGTCAATTTTCTTATACATTTTTTTTATGATTGACTCAGTCTTCAAAATCTTATTTGTTACTGTCGTCTTTATCCATTGTTAACCGAATCTTCCAAGATAAAATATTTTATTCTAAAACAATCACTTTTTGATTTAAATGAATTTTACTCCTTATTTTTCACACGGTTTTGACTAGCTCTCAAGCTTCTCACACCTATATATAAAGAGACTTCTACCTCACTGTTTTGCATATCTCTCATACTCGAAAACACTCTAATAGCGTTGTTAAGTCACTATCAAAAGTAAACTAGATTTTTCCCAAATATTTGTAATACAAGGAACAACCTAGGTCATTCTTCTTGAAGACACAAGCCAATTGGATTGAAAATTATGACACAATTAGAGGGAAGATTTTTATGAACAATAAAGAGAATTTAGAATATTATAAACGCAAACAAAAAAAATCAATTAAAAATTACATTGATTTAAGATTTCAATCATTACGGTAAAATTTTCATAGTTCAAATTATAATCAAAATTTAATCAACCTAAATTAATAAGATCGTAATCTATATGTAGATCTATTGAATTTCATAAAAACGTGAAACACAATCATGATCTCACAACTTCCTTGAAATTCAAGAATGGTGAACAGTTAAATTAGGCGATTTAGGTTATTTTAGGTCAAGATCTAGATTTAGATCTAGATCTAAAATTAATCTTCAAATATAATTTGGATCCATTAAAACAAAATTCATAATCATGAAGAATGGAAAAATGGATCTAGAATGAAGAAGAAGATGAAAAGAATTTGTATGGTAAAAATAGATTGGGAACTCGAATTTTACTATAATTCATGAAATCTCGAATCAAATGAATGAATTAGCCACACATCTTCATCAAGACACTGCAGTTCCTTTGTATAGAAAAATATGAAGAAAAAATTTTGAGAGAGAGAAGAGAGGAAAGAGAGAATTTAGAGAAACTTATAGAGGAAACAACTTTAAAATGTGAAAAATGAGTGTAAAGTGTACATAACAAGTCTCACAACACCTATTAATAGAGAAACATAGTGGGTATAAGGAGAATATTTACAAGGCCCGACCCACTAAGTCAACTAATTATATCACTAAATAAATCCTAACTATATTCTAAAAATAAAAAGAAAATACTAAGCAGGACTAAAACTTTGTAACACAATTGTGGGTCACTTAATGTCCAAACTGGCCTTTTCTCCCAACAAAGAAGTTGTAGAACTTTTTCTTATCTTTCAAAGGACACCAAGAATGTCCAAATCCAATGTTAGGAGCTATATATAGCCTGCACAAGAAATAAAGTCAAAATAGAAAAAAAAATTACGAAAATTAACTAAAATTTACTACTAAAACTAAAATGACTCACTTGAAAAAATCCAAGTTAATATAACACAATATGATACTAATAAAAGTCAAATAAACCAAAAATAATGTATAAAAAGATATACAAAAATTAATCTATCAAATAACCCCATACTTATTCTTTTGCACTCTAAGACAAAACTCATTAATAAACCTAAAATTCAAAAGAAAGTAAATACAAAATTTCAACACTTTTTAATAAATTTCTAATGTATAGAAAAAGAGAAAGAGTAAATGATTCCTAGAATCAAGGCTACAAACAATCTATGAGAGATAAATGACATTAAAAGCAAGCAAGAAAAACAAGTCAAATTAAATAATGATTCAAAAATGATATAACCTCACAAGATGGTGTATAACTCTCAACTCTCAAGTGTTTAGGATTGTATTTACACTTAAACACATCATGCAAACTAGCACATCCAAGCTTTGACAAGCCTCTAATTTTCACAACTTGAAACACATGCAATTAAAGATCAAAAGAACTTTTATTTAGCTATTAATGTGATCAAGGTAAAGGTGAGAGAAGAGAAGAATTTTTAAGCTATAAACCAATAAGAGAAAAGAGGAACAATGGGGAATAAATTCAAGAAACATGAAAGTTACCCCAAATAGGATCTTTTTGTTTTCTTTGGCTTCCCATTTATTTCAATCACAAAATTTTTTTCTTTTTTTATTCAATGCATTTCTAAGTTTTTTTTAATATTTTTTCTATCATTTTTTTCTTTGTTTTTTTTTTCAAGCTAATGTCAAACAACTCAACAACATCAATACAAAACCATTCCCTTGGGGTTACACCCCCACACTTATTAAGGACCTATTCCCTAAACAATTCCAAAGCTCCTTTAATCCCTAAGGTTAGGGTGTATATAGTGGGTTTTCACTTAATGACTTGTAATGAGCTTCAAAATCAAAGAAAAAGTTATATAGGTTCAAAGGACGTAACAAAGGGAAAAAAATGTAAGGTAGGTCATTTTGGCTAGTAACTTATAAGAAAGAAGGCCTAAATCATATCAATAATGCATGTGAACAAGAGACATCAAAGAGAGTCAAGGAAAAACCTAGAGTAACTAGCAACATTAGTGCAATTACACAAGAAAGAAAATGGCATGGAGTGATGTATCTCATTCATCAAAATGGGCACAAAATCTCACAAGGTTAATATTCTATCACTAATGAACCAGACTTTAATTTTTCAACCAACTTACTATACCAAAAATGTAA